TAATTTATAAATTGTGTATCTTTGGTGGGCTGTGATTGTGGTAGTAGTCTAAGCTCCCGTCGACCAAGTCTTACCTCATAGGTCTACCGCACGGACGTATGCTGTAGCGATAGATACCACTTAGGAGGTCAGGAAAATACTGGGTTGCCATCTCCTAACCTGGAGGAAACTTTTTTATTCGAGTTGGAAAATGCAAAAAAGTCCAAAAATTACCTCACATTTCTACCGCTCCAAACGTTTTCCTACCTAAAGAGACTCCTTTTGAGATGAGAATGCGCTAGGGTTGCCAGCTCTAATCCTGGCAGGTTCCAAGGGCAGCCACATTTTATGAGGCCCGAAAATGGAGTTTTTTACCTCATCTTTCTACCGGACAAAATTAGTGTCAATCGATAGCTCTAAGCATGCCATTTACAAATATATAGGGTTGCCTGCTATCAGCCTGGCAGGAACTCTGGTAAACCCCCTCAAAGAAACGACGGTAAAATCTTCAAACAAAGAAAAAGTCATGAAAACCACTAAGATTCCAGCAAAACTTAATGTAAACTGCGCCATAGAGTTACATTCTGTCGTGTGGGACACTGCGTCGACGAACGACCCGACGGAACCTGGTGTTTTCAAAGCATCTATAATTAGGAAGTACAAAGCAGGTCACTGACAGGCCTTACCTTTCTTGCAACCAATCAAAATTTATGCCAATCGATAGCCCTAGGTATGCCATTTATAAATATATATAGGGTTGCCTGCTATCAGCCTGGTAGCATCCCTGGTAGACCCCGTCAAATGAACGCAGGTAAAATGTTCAAACCCATAAAAACTTGTGTTACACTGCTAAGATGTCTTGCTACCAAACTAAATTAGTGCCAATCGATAACCCTAGACATGACATTGATGAATATATAGGGTTGCCTGCTATCAGCCTGGCAGTATCTCTGGTATACCTCCTCAAACAAACGTTGGTTTAATCTTCAAACCAAGAAAAACTTACGTAAAACTGCCAAGATATTTTGCTACCGAACAAAATTAGTGTCAATCGATTGCTCTTGTCATGCCACTGATGAAAATATAGGGTTGCCTGCTATCAGCTTGGACGTTTTCTTGGTATACCCCCTTGAACGAACGCTGGTAAAATCTTCAAACCAAGACAAACTTATGTAAAACTGCCAAGATATCTTGCTACCGAACAAAATTAGTGCTAATCGATAGCCCTAGGTATGCCGTTTATGAATTTATAGGGTTGCCTGCTATCAGTCTGGCAGTTTCCCTGGTAGACTCCGTCAAATGAACGCAGGTAAAATGTTCAAACCCAGAAAAACTTGTGTAAGACTGTTAAGATGTCTTGCTACCAAACAAAATTAGTGTCAATCGATAGTCCTAGACGTGTCATTGATGAATACATAGGGTTGCCTGCTATCAGCTTGACAGTATCCTTGGTATACCCCCTCAAACGAACGCAAGATTTAACCAACGTTCGTTTGAGGGGATACCAGGGGGTATACCAGGGATACTGCCAAGCTGATAGCAGGCAACCTATATATCATCATGTCTAGGACTATCGATTAGCACTAATTTTGTTTGGTAGCAAGACATCTTAGCAGTTTTACACAAGTTTTTCTGGGTTTGAACATTTTACCTGCGTTCATTTGACGGGGTCTACCAGGGAAACTGCCAGGCTGTTAGCAGGTAACCCTATAAATTCATAAACGACATACGTAGGGCTATCGATTGGCACTAATTTTGTTCGGTAGCAAGATATCTTAGCAGTTTTACATAAGTTTTCTTGGTTTGAAGATTTTACCAGCGTTCGTTTGAGGGGGTATACCAAGAAAACGTCCAAGCTGATAGCAGGCAACCCTATATTTTCATCAGTGGCATGACAAGAGCAATCGATTGACACTAATTTTGTTCGGTAGCAAAATATCTTGGCAGTTTTACGTAAGTTTTTCTTGGTTTGAAGATTAAACCAACGTTTGTTTGAGGAGGTATACCAGAGATACTGCCAGGCTGATAGCAGGCAACCCTATATATTCATCAATGTCATGTCTAGGGTTATCGATTGGCACTAATTTAGTTTGGTAGCAAGACATCTTAGCAGTGTAACACAAGTTTTTATGGGTTTGAACATTTTACCTGCGTTCATTTGACGGGGTCTACCAGGGATGCTACCAGGCTGATAGCAGGCAACCCTATATATTTATAAATGGCATACCTAGGGCTATCGATTGGCATAAATTTTGATTGGTTGCAAGAAAGGTAAGGCCTGTCAGTGGCCTGCTTTGTACTTCCTAATTATAGATGCTTTGAAAACACCAGGTTCCGTCGGGTCGTTCGTCGACGCAGTGTCCCACACGACAGAATGTAACTCTATGGCGCAGTTTACATTAATTTTTGCTGGAATCTTAGTGGTTTTCATGACTTTTTCTTTGTTTGAAGATTTTACCGTCGTTTCTTTGAGGGGGTTTACCAGAGTTCCTGCCAGGCTGATAGCAGGCAACCCTATATATTTGTAAATGGCATGCTTAGAGCTATCGATTGACACTAATTTCGTCCGGTAGAAAGATGAGGTAAAAAACTCCATTTTCGGGCCTCATAAAATGTGGCTGCCCTTGGAACCTGCCAGGATTAGAGCTGGCAACCCTAGCGCATTCTCATCTCAAAAGGAGTCTCTTTAGGTAGGAAAACGTTTGGAGCGGTAGAAATGTGAGGTAATTTTTGGACTTTTTTTGCATTTTCCAACTCGAATAAAAAAGTTTCCTCCAGGTTAGGAGATGGCAACCCAGTATTTTCCTGACCTCCTAAATGGTATCTATCGCTACAGTATACGTCCGTGCGGTAGACCTATGAGGTAAGACTTGGTCGACGGGAGCTTAGTCTATAGACGTGGTAGACGTATGGTAGACGTATCAAAACAAAACACCAAATTCGTTGCAAAACACCATACTTCGATATGCATTGCGGCGTTATTATAATGTGAATGATCAGGCCGAAATGTACATTAATGTTTTCAGTTTTGTTTGGAAAACACGTGAGCAGGAGACTCAGCTGAGAGTACTATCGCTATAACATCAACCTTGGAGGAACGGAAGATGCGTTGATCGAAGACATCAACCCATCAACCAACCCACCATCTTATTCTTTTACTGGATTTTCGTGTGGGACTTGCCGGCGATAGATTTTGCTAGTGTAGCTGGACCTTTATTTTAAAAAGTAATATGGTTATAATCTGTGGTTTTCATTTGACATTGACATTTTTATGAGATTTCGTGTTTTTTGTGTTTGTTGATAATTCTTCGTTATTTCTCAGTAGAAAATCCAAAAACCTTTGTAATCATTACATTTACAACTTGTTTTATGATTTCTACAACTTACTGAACGGTCGATTTTGTTTCGGATTGTTAAAAATGACTGAAGTTCAGCTGCAAGAGTTCAAACTTGATCCCGACTCGGAATTGCGATTTGAGGTGGAATCCAAGAACGAAAAAGTTGTTCTAGAGGTAAAAATGATGTTATTTCGTTACTCTGTTGCAGAAAAACACTTGCAGTACGTCAATACTTTCAGATAGCGGTCTTACAGATTACCTTTAAATTTTTAGGTTAAGAGTGGTTACGCGGAGTTATTTGGTACAGAGCTGGTGAAGGGGAAGCCGTATGAGTTCCACACGGGTGCCAAAGTGGCCGTGTTCACCTGGCACGGGTGCACAGTCGAGCTCAGGGGCAAAACCGAGGTCAGCTATGTGGCTAAAGAGACTCCAATGGTAAGAACATAATATATCACTTTTATAACTATATGCGGCCATTAATAATGTGATGCCGGTTTAGAATAACATCACCTCAATTTTAACCATGAGTGTTCTTAAAAGAAACTAAGGGATAATCATCCAGGGAATGGCAGCATCATTCTCTGTGATTTAAACATCTTATACTGTGCTCGCTAATCCGGCTGCGTCAAGCATTGTGAGTATGGCATACCATCTTATAGCAGGAGGCTGATGTCCAGCTGTGGACTGTTGTGGCTGTTAAGGTTGAAGTAGGACAGTTTAATAATATGTATGTGTGAACTCATGATAGCCTATTACAATACAAGATCTTCATATATCATCATATTATAGGTTATTGTGTAAGAGATAAAAATATCCCAAAAGGAACTTGAATATTTACCATGTAATATTTTTTTAAGCTTTATCTTTGATAAATGTTATTCTTGTGTAGATTTCCAAAGTGTATTAGATATTATATGTAAGTAGGCATAAATTACTAAATACTCAACAGAAATTACACACTACTTATCACTTATCTACTTGAAGGTTTTGCAATCAGAATAATATTGTCTAAGAGTTTTATCATTCACCCACATATTTTAACTAATAAACTTGTATGGGTAACATGCAGTAAAAACTATTTTGAAATGTATGACAAAACATACTTATGTTTATTACAGGAAAAGATCTAGCACTGAATTAAATCACTCTGGATAGGATTCTAGATAAAGATTCTAGACAAAAAAAGCTGTTCTTTTGTTAGTGCAATAAAAAGTATTTTATCCCTAAAAAAGACAGAAAACAGCCATATTATGTTCTAGGCAACCAGGCAATAATCCTTTTAAATTAAAATTATCTGTTTCAATATCAAGTTATGAATATCTTCCAGGTTATATATTTAAATGTCCACGCAGCCTTAGAGCAGCAAAGGGTGGCAGCGGAGCAGGAAGGCACCCGAGGGCCAGTAGCCATGATTGTCGGACCAGGGGATGTTGGCAAGTCGACACTCACGCGGATACTGCTGAACTACGCTGTGAGGATGGCGAGACGACCGATCTATGTGGACTTGGATGTTGGGCAAGGGGGTATTAGCGTGCCGGGGACCATAGGTAAGTAACATACTTGATAATTTAGACAGAGATAATTACACAGCACAACTATGTCAGAGCCAAATAGTAGTAAACGACGAAAAAACCGACACTAGGGCTCATTGAATACTGTGGTTTGAAAAATTGCTTATATTACCACCACAGGCAGGATTTGAACCTGCGACTTTCGGCATTTGTACTGCTGACGCCACTACCAACTGGGCAACCGCAGCTCAATCTTAGCATCATTCATTAACTCAGTGTCCCACAAGATAAAAGAAGACATGTTGTTGAGTTATGTTGTGTGTGTCGCATTAAATATTTTTCAACTACTAAGTCTCTTGAGTTAACTCCTGTTGTTGATTTTTCAATTGACGTAAAAAAGTGGGAGGTTCTTAATTCAACCCACACTTTTTCAATGAAAAGCCCCAAATTTCAGAAATTGTGTTAGATCATACTATTTTCAATGGTACGAGTACGCCAAGGGCGCGTATTCATTTGTTTGATACTGGAACGTTTGTCGCGCGACATTGTTTCGCTTCTTCTTCATGAGTCATTTTCATTATGAATCTTTGTGATTTTCCAGGAGCCCTACTAGTAGAGCGACCAGCTTCCATCGAAGAGGGTTTCAGCCAGCAAGCTCCGCTGGTGTACCACTTCGGGCACAAGGCTCCTGGAGACAACCTGGAGTTGTATAGCACGGTAGTGTCTCGGCTTGCTGAGGTCATCGCGGAGAGAGCCGAGAACAATAGCAAAGGTAATCGCGAAAGAACAGAGGAATACATTTAAAAGGAGGAAACCGCGTATCGCGAGCGAAGCGAGTTAGACATTTCATGTTATAAACAAGAAAGCCGTGTATCGCGAGCGAAGCGAGCTAGAAACTTCATGTTTCAAACAAGAAATCCGCGTATCGCAAGCGAAGCAAGCTATACACTTCGTGTTACAATCAAGAAAGTTGTGTATTGCGAGCGAAGCGAGCAAGAAACTTCGTGTTTCAAACAAAAAATCTGAGTATCGCAAGCGGAGCGAGCTCATTCCGTGTTACAAACAAAAAATTCGTGTATTGCGAGCGAAGCGAGCTAGAAACTTCGTGTTTCAAACAAAAAAATCTGAGTATCGCAAGCGAGCGAGCTCATTCCGTGTTACAAATAAAAAAGTCGTGTATTGCGAGCGAAGCGAGCTAGAAACTTCGTGTTTCAAACAAGAAGTCTGAGTATCGCCAGCGAAGCAAGTTACACTGTGATACAAACAAGATATCCGTGTATCGCGAACGAAGCGAGCTAGACTCCTCCGTTTTACAAAGAAGAAATTCGTGTATTCGTATATTGCTAGTACACATAAACGTCTAGGGAGAGAAGCTAATTAGACGCTTGTTAGAGATAAGATAAAGAAATTCACGTGTTTCGGCGTATTTATTGCAGCGTCGACGTCGGGCGTGATCATCAACACGTGCGGGTGGGTGAAGGGCGCGGGGTACAAGGTGCTCACACACGCCGCGCAGGCGTTCGAAGTAAGCATAAAATTTTCTATACACATATTATGAAAATCCCTGGAATGTACATATCTTTTTGAAATGAACACCTTTCCCAGACAAACACATACACAGTATTATGTATATGCGCGCTGTTTCCGGTAACGTTTTTCGGGAAACAAACTTCAGATCATTCATGAGCTAGATCTTTCCTTCAATTATTTATCCAAGTTCTGTCACACTTTATATTTCCAAGACTTTTTCAGCTATACGATAGGTAAAATATGTGCTTACTGTTGTGCATTTAAATCTTGATTTTTGAAATTACCGAGTGGTAGTGGCTAAGAATTCTGCCACCCCTATTCTACTCAGGATGTTTCGTAAAAGGCGACGACGTAGCATTTTTGACCTTGGCTACAATATCTGCCGACCATGGTCAACCGAATGGTGGTGGTAATACCACCTACGATAGCATTACCAAAGAGGGTTGACGTCAGGCAAGGCAAGGCAGGTAGTAAAATTGAGCCAAATCTTTTACAATATGATTTTCTGTTGATACAAAACATGTTGCGCCGACCCCAAGTAATTGCGATAATGGCAGTAAGATTATGTTCATTTAAATATTGACATTTTGCCTTATCTGTTCCAGGTAGATGTAATATTAGTTCTAGACAACGAGCGGCTGTACAACGAGTTGAAACGCGACATGCCCAAGTTCGTCAAAGTCGTGTACCTGCCTAAAAGTGGAGGGGTAAGACATCTCTAAAACCCATTAATAAATAAAATCTTAGCAAAATTGCGTAAATCTTGTAAATTTACCTTACTGTCTCAGAAGGAGGTTTATGTATGTAAATATGTATGTGTGGCTATGGTCCTATGGACAAGATGTTTTATAAAGATTGATGCTTTCGTTTTTGAATTTACTAAGTAAAGATTTTCAAGTCTTCATTTTTACGTCGTACATACAATAGGCGCGTCCACACCAAGCGAGCAGCCTCGCTGCCTACGTGCCTCACTTATTAATTTATTTATCTACACTCATTTCGTAATATTCGTTTTACAGAATCGAAAGTACGAACGTAATGAACTGCATTACGAATATACAGCCTTTAAAAAAACTTCCATACTACTGGCAGCTACATAGTAACTCGATTTCTAGTATTTGAAAAAAAATTAAACGAATTGACCCGCGTACCAAATTGCAATCTGTTCCAATTTGATGAAAGTGATAGAAATATATTTAGCTTCTTCCGCACTTATGATGGTTATGCTGTTGAGTGAACCACACGTTCACTCAACAGCAGTTGCAGTCGGTGCTCGGAACTTGACTGTCGAAGATCTCCTGAGGATGCTCCGTGGAGGAGTGAAACACGTGTAGAGTGTAAAACGGTGGTTGCGGTGTGTTGTATCGCTAGTACATTTGCATTAAGTTGCGGTCGTACGTGTGGTTCACTCAACAGCATAACCATCATAAGTGCGGAAGAAGCTAAATATATTTCTATCACTTTCATCAAGATGGACTTCCGCAAAGTAACGCCTGATACTATTAGTTACTGTTCCAATTTGACACTGGCCAACATTAAGTCAAATGAAAAAAAAAACAAGTGTCACCCGGGCGGGACGATACTTGAAATTATGAGGACTTATTTATTATTAAATCTTTGCTTCAAATCATTTTTCGAATTCACCGATAAATGCTTTTTAATTTTAAAAGTTGTTCAGTTTTTATGAGCCTCCATTTTAACGTTTAGTTAAAAAGTTACTTATGTACAAAAGTCGTTCAGTTGGTGGTTCAGTAGATAGGCTTGCAATCGCCATAGTGCAGTGCGGAGATTTGAATTATTTTTCATAGTTTTTCTTGTAGAGTGTAGATAAAATAGTGTATGCAACTGCATATAATTAGGCTTTAGAATGCTCGTGTCAAACTATTATCACACTCGGCTGCGCCTCGTGTGATAAACAGATACTCACATCCTAAAGCCTCTCATTTTTAGGCAGTTGCATAAACTACTATTATGCGTCCAATTGGGCCGAACTTGCCTCGTTTGCGCACGAGCGTATGCCGCGCGACATAGTGAGGCAGCGAGCAGCCTCGCTTGGTGTGGACGCCCCTAACTATGAAAAAAAGTAGGAATTGTACATGATTAGAACACTTTTTCTAAAAATATCAAAACTTTAGGTAGTGGAGCGATCGTCGCAACAACGAGCGGAGTCGCGCGACGCCCGTATCCGCGAGTACTTCTACGGGAAGCGGACACCATACTACCCACACTCCTTCGATGTCAAATTCACAGACCTCAAGATATACAAGGTGGGTTTCAACTTTCATCAACTGACTGACTTGGTATGGTAGGCCGGATGTTTTTCTCGTTTTTCAGCATTTGTCCCATACTGAAAATTGTTCAGTACGATGCCCTCAACAACGAGTCCAATTTAATGCATTTCCCACGCTCACAATTGATAAATTATATGATAGTTTTTTGATGTTGGTACAGGTGGGCGCGCCGTCGCTGCCCGACTCGTGCATGCCGCTGGGCATGCGCGCGGAGGACGCGCTCACCAAGCTGGTGCCCGTGTCGCTCTCGCTCGCACTCGCGCACAAGCTGCTCGCCGTCTCGTTCGCGGCCGGCCCTGAGGACGACGTGTTACACTCCAATTTAGCAGGATTTGTCTGTGTGTATGTATACCTACAATGTTTATGGTTACAGTATGTAACAGGCTGAGATGGTATGTGTAAACCCCCGGAGGCTGACATATGTGTGGCTCGCTGAGAGGTATAATCCCCCTTCGGGGGCAGAAGTATGTGTGGCTCGCTGAGAGGTATAATCCCCCTTCGGGGGCAGAAGTATGTGTGGCTCACTGAGAGGTATAATCCCCCTTCGGGGGCAGAAGTATGTGTGGCTCGCTGAGAGGTATAATCCCCCTTCGGGGGCAGAAGTATGTGTGGCTCGCTGAGAGGTATAATCCCCTTCAGGGCAGAAGTATGTGTGGCTCGCTGAGAGGTATAATCCCCTTCGGGGCAGAAGTATGTGTGGCTCGCTGAGAGGTATAATCCCCTTCGGGGGCAGAAGTATGTGTGGCTCGCTGAGAGGTATAATCCCCCTTCGGGGGCAGAAGTATGTGTGGCTCGCTGAGAGGTATAATCCCCCTTCGGGGGCAGAAGTATGTGTGGCTCGCTGAGAGGTATAATCCCCCTTCGGGGGCAGAAGTATGTGTGGCTCGCTGAGAGGTATAATCCCCCTTCGGGGGCAGAAGTATGTGTGGCTCGCTGAGAGGTATAATCCCCCTTCGGGGGCAGAAGTATGTGTGGCTCGCTGAGAGGTATAATCCCCCTTCGGGGGCAGAAGTATGTGTGGCTCGCTGAGAGGTATAATCCCTTTTTTCCGGTGCTTGCACAATTTGATTACTAACCAAATTAAAATTAATCATTACGTTTAAAAATTTAAACGAATATTATGTTTTTTCAGTACGGCGGTGGACGTGGACCGCGGCACGCTGACGATCCTGTCCCCGCAGCCGCGGCCGCTGCCCAACACCGTCATGCTGCTCACAGACATGACCTACATGGACAACCACTAGAGTAGCAAACTAAGATAAGGGCAGGTCAGCTTGTACTGGTTACAGCTGACGACCCTGTAAAGCCGAACACCGTCATGCTGCTCAGTACGGCGGTGAGTAGCAAACTAAGATAAGGGCAGGTCAGCTTGTACTGGTTACAGCTGACGATCCTGTCCCCGCAGCCGCGGCCGCTGCCCAACACCG